AAAAGACGTCCCCGAGACCCAACCGGTAGACACGGGAGGGGGGGGGGGGATCACAATTCAAATAAAAAGTCTAAAAAGAACGAATTTAGGCTACCTAACATATCTAAAATATTCGCCTGCATCAAAGTTTCCTAAGATTCATAGGGCTCACTTGCCGCGTCGGGATTTTAAAAAGGGAAACCTGCACAAGGGATAAGCCCCTCGAGGAAACCCCATTTAAGACCCGGTGCGGAATATATCCTCCTTTAGGCGAATCGAAGTGGACACGACTTAGGATAATTTGCAATCTTAAAGAATATAAATGGCACGAATCTTCTGCAAACCAGGTCTAAAATGTGGTAGGCATCAGGGGGATCCCTTTGCTTTTAAAAAAGAAAGAGGGTGATCCGGCCAAACCATCCCCGGCTGATAATGATAATATCTTCGCTAAAAATGTTATTAAGGCAAATAATACCTTTATAATAAAAATAAAAATTTCATTATTTTTTGTTTAAAAGAACCTGATGAACACGCGCTATATCAATTAAAGAAGTTTAAGTGTGGCGCATTTCCAGCCAATTTATAACCGAATGAAAATGACTAGTAACCATCAAAAAAGGCATTTGTGATGGACCAAAACCATAGCCCAAGTTCTATCAAAGATTCCCGGTGTATAAGGTAAAATCTTTTGTTAAAAAAGGCTAAATTGATGATATCTTTAAATTGCGATTGATCAAAATTACGATAAATTCATTGCAGTTCCGATGTGTGGAGGGAGATGTTCTTACGAGTGTTGTTTTTTATTGGATTATATAAAAAGGAATAATTTTTACCAACTAAGTCGAGGAATGATCTAAGTTTTGGGCAACCATAAATGAACTGCAAGATTCTAAGAAGTGATGGGTTCCGATCGGATTTTGAGTGATCGTTGATCTTTTTCCCGTTTAATGCTTTAAGTTTCAAAGGGAAATGAAAACATTGGAACTAAATTGGAAAAGAAAGAGGGTAATTATTAACAAATGACTGAAATTTTGTATTTTGGAATCCTTATCCTACATTAACTTTGACCAGGGTGAAGGTTTAAGGACCGGTTAAATCGCAAATTTCGGATCCCCTTTCTTCAAAAGTGGCGCATATATAAAAGAAAATGGGATAAGCATAGAATTTTGGTATAATTTTCTTTAAAAAGATATAAAAAATAATCTTGCACACAGGTACTATATCTAAATCGAAAAATACGTGGCATTTAAATTGGGCATTGGCGTCGCTCGAGTAAAAAATATGGATGGTGCGTGGGGATGCTTTCCCCGACCCGTTCGTGAATGTCGGGGCGTTTGGTTTGGCACATATGCTTCTTTAACTTTCCCCCAAACTAGCATATGATTGATAAATCATGAATCCATCCGAAAATCTTCAAATTTCTGAATATAATGAATTCAGCATGCCATAGTATATTTTTTTGGAAAGGGAATTGAATAAAAATTATTATTAATGTTCAGAGAAAATGGTCTTTTAAATAAAATAAGAAGGTCCTAGGGTCCTTTGATTTTTTTAAATTTTCATGTTTGGCAAAAATATCACTCACATAACTTTTTCAAAATGCCTTATAACAAAAAACAGTTTTTTACAGGTGATTTTGGAAAGAAATCTCCCTAAAGTTAGGGGGCGCTGTTTGTAAGATAAGGCTGCGTTTTCTGCAAGGCCAGACCCATTGGCAACATGATCTCTTTATTTCGATGGTCTTTTTTTTGTTTTACTCCCAATAAACTCAGGTTATTTTTATTTATTTTGAGATGGGTGTAGGGTAGCGCACGGTATACCCTCTTATTTTCATTGGCGGCGGCGGGGTGCTGGATTGGGGTTTCCCACGCTCAGCGTCCCTTTTGATAAATATGTTATTTCAATATCCTTTTTTTATATTTTCCTTATTTTTTATGTTCTGATAATTCGATTGATAAATGATAAAATTTTTTTCATTTGTATTCCAATAGAATTTTTATACTTTTTGGCAGACATGATGACGACGCTTCGACCTTCATCGCAAGCGGGAAAAATATATTGAGGCTACCTTTCATTGTTATGCTTTATGATGACTAGTCTGATTTTTTAGTCTATTATTATTATTAATAATTAAGCTAATTGTGTCATACTCCTTTCTGATTTCTTTTCACTTTTCATTACAACATATTGGTTTAGAAAAAATTCAGAAAGCTTTTTTATGTTTCTATTTCCATGAACACAAATTGCACAACAGATATTACACATAGCGTAGTAAGTGAGGCACTTAATTACTATGTGTCGGTTGAAACTATTGATGGAAGCATTGTAAAAGGAAAGTTAATTCGGTATGACGAGCATACGGGCAACGCCGAACTTATTGATGTTGAATGCCAGACCCGAGATTCCTCTCTTTCAGTGTTTGAACGTTTTTTTTTGAAGGGTGCAAATATTCGTATTATTCATTTACCTCCCGATTTATGCAAGTCACCACTTTTAGATTGGCAAAATAGTTCTATGCGTCAGGCCTTGAAGAAGACCATCAAGCCAAATCGAAGTGTTAGAAAAAATAAGACTGCGTTACGTACCACGAATAAATTACTGAAACAACAGAAAGGAAAATAAAATTTAACCTTGAACTTTTTTCAGAAAAAAAGTTATAATTATTAGATTTTTTTTTTATATTTTTAAAGTACAAAAATCTGAGCATCGGGATGGACTTTGAGTTTTTTTTATAAGATAATATATTTGTCTCATTACTTACAATTTAACTAAAGGAAAAGCTACTAAATATTATTAGATAGATAAAAATGTGTGATATGTTGGCGAGACCGGAGAAGCAAAAGTTTTCAACTGTGTTTGAAACAACTCATTTGCGTATAGGCTGCTGCAGTATGCAAGGATGGAGAAAAACGATGGAGGATGCGCATGTGGCTCAATTGAATTTAAATGGAAAAAAAACTCGTGCATTTTTCGCAGTTTTTGACGGTCACCAATCTGATGAAGCTGCTCATTACTGTCGAGCTCATATGCTTGATGAAGTAATAAAGGCAATCAATAATACAAATGGTGAATATAAGCAATCATTTGAAAATGCATTTCATGCAATCGATGAACAAATATGTCGTAGGTTTCCTTCAAGTGGAACAGCAGCAAACTGTGTGCTTTTGATGGATAGAAAAATAATTTGCGCAAATGTCGGCGATAGTCGAGCAGTATTATTTTCTGATGGAAAAGCAATTCCTCTTAGCACTGATCATAAGCCAACTCTTCCAGATGAGGAGGCTCGGATTCGTCGAGCTGGAGCGCAAGTTGAGAATGGAAGAGTAAATATGACATTGGCGGTAAGCCGTGCCCTTGGTGATGTTGATTTTAAAACCAATAAGGCATTATCTTGGAAAGAGCAAGCTGTTACATCACTTCCTGATGTGACTCAATATGAAATTCAAAAAACTGCCGAGCTGATCATCTTAGGTTGTGATGGTGTTTGGGATGTACTTTCAAACCAAGATTGCTGTCTTCTTGCCCATAGGCTTCTTCATGACAATGAGACAAAGGATTCAAATTCTGTTGACATTAGTCTTGTGTGTGAACAAATATTGGATATTTGTATAGCTCAGTCTAACACAGCTAGAGTGGGTACTGACAATATGACAATCATAATTGTCGAATTCAAAGAGCCTTTTCTTCATCAATAATTTTTTTTAGTTCAGAAGTGCAGTTCCTACCTTTACTTATTTTCCAGTGTTCTGCATATCAATTCGGGAGCTAAACAAAATTGCATAAGAAATGTTATCATTATCAATCTTTTATATATCAAAACGATTTTAAAACTTGTTATTTTATCTATGAGATATACGCATTTCTGTTTCCTAAATTAAGATTTATTATTATTATTATTATTTTATGGAGTCAATATTTCTTTTTACAAGTAAATATATGATTATGAAAAATTATTACAAAATTCAACTTCTTTTATATCCTCTTTTTTTATTATTTTCTTTTTTGAGTTGGAATTTCTTAAAAATAAGTTACTACTTAGAAATTGCATAATGTCAGTTACTGATGCGGCTGATGAATTAAAACTTGTAATTTCCATTTTTCAAAAATTAATGCAAGTAGCGAATGGTCAACTGAGAGATGATCAAATTACACCGTTAATAAAGCGTCTTCAGTTTGTATTAGAAAAACTTCAAAATAGTATGGTATCAGAAAGTCAAAAGCATAATCTACATTTTACTGACCAAAAAACGGATATACCAAGTCGACCCAATACTTTGCCCAACACGTGTTCCTTAAGAAATACTGAAGATACACATAAGCCCAAAAATTTTATTTTAAGCAAACCCTCTAGTTTGCGTGTAAAATATATACCACAGGAACCATCTGTGACAGGTGATTTTGCTATTTCGAAGGATGTTTCTAAATCATTTGCATGTAGTTTGTATAATATACTTGAGGGCACAGCGAAGCTTCTACAGGCATCATCAGCAAGTATTTTTATGAGAAAAGGCGATGAAATGTTTTCGATATGCAATGTAAGTCGAAATCTTGTATTCCCACCAATTTTCAATAGTCATCGTTGCAGTGGATCATTAGACGCAGAAGTGCTGGCCAGCTGTATTGCATTAAATCGATACTCATCGGAAGCTTCTCAAAACCAGACTTCCATGTTATTGTTTCCCATCCGTTTTCATCGAGAAGAACTCGTGAATAATAACAAAGCAATAGCAACTCTACATATTGAAGGCAAGTGTTTAGGTTATCAGCCGTTTGGAACTCATGACGAGAGTATTGCTTATTTTTCATCTATCCTAATTGGCGAACTTATTTCGCGAATACCACAAATTGACTGGTTCAATACCTTTTATGAACCTATTGCTCAGCACATCGTTGCGCCGTTTGTTCCAGCAAAACAGGTACTTCCAATTCTGCGGAAACCTCCAAAAGAAGCACCACCAGGCCAATCTTCCTCATTTGGTTCCCCTGTTGACGCCGCCAGTAATGCTGTATTTCACGAAGTCCAGGAATTTGTTCCGCAAATACTAATAAAGCGAGATGTAATTCCCCAGAAAACATTAATGCCAATAACTAGCGGGCTTTCTCTCTCACCGTCCTTGAGGGAAGTGAGGACTTTTGTTGATAACATTCATAATTGTTGGAGGAAGGGTGTTGATTGCAACATCAACTATTTAGAAAAGGAACATGAGGTTCAAATGGAATTAAAAGAATTGCGAGCAAATCTCGTCAACACAAGAAAGGAATTGGAGACTACAAAGGACAGATTAAGGTTATATGAATTAGATGGCTACGATTACAAGCGAGAGTATAAAGATTTATGTGTGGAGCTTGAGTCTTTTATTCGCCAACGTAATACCTGAATATTTTTATTACGTTCAAATTAATGTATTAGTAGCTATATTTTCATAATCTGTATATAGTTGTAATTTTTTTATTTATTGCGACGTTATTACTGTTTCATCATTTTTATATGTTACCAATTTTATGTTCAGAACATCTACAGGAATTGGCGAATAAAATGATAAAAATAAATTATTATGCCTTGCATTTTTTTCCAACCATTATGTTGATGTAACAACTTATTTGGTTTTATTTAATTTGCTATTTAAATTTTTATATTGGTATTTTCTCTCTCTTTCTTTGGGGCGTTGAATAAATATGTGATGGTGTATTTCTGATAGCGATCATTAGGCATATTTTTTATTAATATATAAGCTATTCTAATTTTTTTCTTTTTCAACATCTTGAAAGAGGGCGTATAGCTATAGAAATGAATAACAAGTCCTCTTCTTCTATTGTTTCAGATTGGGAGAGCTTGAAAGAGCGCGGTAACCAAGCTTTTAAGAATAATTTGTTCAAGGATGCTGTGGAAATTTATGGTAGGGCCATTGAGGCAAAAGCTGACGAACCGGTACTGTATTCTAACCGCAGTGCTGCATTTTTGAAACAGTTGGAATTTAAGAAAGCTGCTGAGGATGCCAAGATGGCGGTGAATTTGGACAAAACTTTTGTCAAGGCGTACTCTCGCTTACATAGTGCACTCTGCAATTTAGGTGACTTTAGGAAAGCTACCGAGGAAATGGCAAATGGTATTGTCGAAATTAATGCGAATCCTAGTTGTGCGAAAACATCAGAGGATCTAAAGCTTCTAAAAGAGTTACATAATAGTGCAGAGAAAGCCCATACAGATTTCAAAAGGGCTGAGCAATTAGTAGCAAGTGGTGACCACGAAGGCGCCAGCCGTATTATATCGGATGTCCTGCGTCAGTTTCCTACTTGCGCTCCTGTGGCGTTTCTTTCTGCTGAATGTACGGTTTCTAGAGATCCAGAGGGCACGAGCAGGGTATTGGTCCTGCTTGCCGATCAATACAGTGATGACCCGTACTACTTATATCTCCGTGCTTTAATGTTATATTATCGAGGCGACAGCAGCTTTGCTGTTGCGCAAGAATTACTCAAGCAAGCCCTGGGGTTGGACCCTGATAATAACAAGTTTTCCGTTCTCCTTAGGAATATTCGAAATATTGAGAAGCACAAAGAGGAAGGGAATAAATTTTTTAGACAAAAACGCTCTAGGGAGGCTATTGAAGAGTATACAGTTGCTATTCAGACTGACGCGACGAACACTCGTGTTAACGCTATCATCCGGGGCAATCGTGCAGCTGCACGTATGGATGTTAATGATTTTCAGGGTGCCTTACTTGATTGTGATTATGCGATTAAGAACGGTGTAGAAAGCGCAAAACTTTACGCTCGCCGAAGCCGTGTCCAGGAACATCTGGATATGTTCGATGACTCCCTTCGCGACATGCAATGCGCGGCAAATAAGGATAGAAATTTTGAAGCAGAATTGCAGCAGTTGAAGGGGCGCATCAAACAAGCCAAACGCAAGAATTACTACAAGATTCTAGATCTTTCTCCGAATGAATCGGACAACAGTACCATCAAGAGGGCGTATAAGAAAGCTTGCCTCCAATGGCATCCCGATAAATGGGCTCACGCCAGTGAAACGGAGAAGGATCATGCTGAGAAAAAATTCAAGGATATCGGTGAGGCATTTGGTGTTTTATCCGATCCTGCCAAAAAGCGTCTCTACGACTCTGGCCAGATGGATAACGATGTCGATGGGGCGTATCAAACCTCGGCTAGCTTTGCGCCTGGAAACGAAGAAATTATTAACCTAATGAACGTGATGTTTGGTGGTGCCAGGATGAGTGGATTTTCCAATGGAGGCTTCCAAAAAGCTACTTATGGACGTGGAGGTAGACGACAAGGGTATACTAGAGGTGGTTATACCTATTCATAATTCTAATTCGATGTATACCTTAAAGTGAATCTAAAAGAGTTATGGTACTTCCACCCTTATTCTGGTTTTAAATAGAGAAATGCGAATTCTGAGCTCTTCCCTACAGAACGTACTCACACTTTTCTCTTTCAGTGTGAGGTAAAACAATATATATATTAATGGGATAAAAACGCATAATTATCTTAATTATTATCAATGTCGATACTTTCTGTTTGCCTAGGCTACTGAAATTAATTTAGTGACACTTTATCAATATAATCTTTTTCACAGTGTATGACAATAGTTGTGCCGATGAAATTGATTTTCCAAAGCGATAAATAAATTATGGAAGCGCTAATATTTTAATTCTCTAAGCGACCTCCCAAAATAGTAAATTCGCTGTGAAAGCTATTGCATATTTTTTTAAGGCGTCTTCACCTCAATGTCAAATTAGCGTTTCTACAAAATTACATTCCTTAAATTTTTTCACTGCTTTTTTTTGTACAAGATTACTTCTCAGAACATTTTTAGTTAACTTCTTTCAGCTGTGCGTGTGCTGGTTTAAAATATTGCATCGTATATATCTATATTATATCAAAAAGTATGATATATTAGAAAATAACGAAAAGGGGAACAAATATACTTATCTAATTCTGATTGTGCATGCTTAGACAGTTCATTACCTGTCCGCTCTGTGGGCGTGGTTATGGATCCGCTTCTATTGATATACACATTCCTCAATGTTATGATAAGGCACTTAAGCGCTGGAAGATTGAACCCATCGGGCCGCGGCCTGTTATGCCGAAGTTGAATAAAACTAAATGCAGAACCATTAAAGGGGCTTTTTCAGGGGATACTAGGTTCGCCAACGAGCAGCCGTGCGGTATTTCTAAGAATACACCTCAGTCTCTGTTCACCAATTTCGAACGGGATGCATTTTCGGTTGAAAATCCCAATCTTCACGCGTGCTCTAAGTGCGGGCGTAAGTTTATTTTTGATCGGATTGGCTATCACGAAAGGGTATGTAAAGGAAATTTGAAACGTCGTGTGTTTGAGAGTAGCAGGCAGCGGAGATCCGAAGACGAGTCATTTGGTTCAGGCGTTCATAATATTAGTTCTGGCAGGAAAGGCAAAAAAAAGAATACAGACGCAAACCAATCCATTGGATTTTCGGTGAGCCAACAACTGAGTACGTGGAGACATCAACACGAGGAATTCATCGAGGCAATTAGAGGCGCTAGAAGAAATGACCAGTCGCGGCAAAGGCAAGGTGCGGTAAAATTCGACCAGGATGTCTTGCAAGTATCCCATTCAGCTGCGACTGCTTCATCGCGGCGAGCAGGTGTTCCTGCATCAATGATTCGACAAAGCACAACTTTCAAGTCGAACATTGCACACGGGGGCAGAGCAGGGCATAAGGTTAGTGCTTCTGATTTTTTAAGTACTTCCACGCCCTGGGCACCTATACATAATCGAAATAATCAGAGGCAGTTTCAAAATGTTACCACTAGGGGTGATAGCCACAAATTTACAGTGTGTGGTGGTGCTGGATCTGGCGGAATTCGAATCGCTAAGGATAATACAACGAGCTTGGGCATGCTTCAAGCCTTTGGTCGTGCTTAAGAAGAAGTAAGTATCTTGATCTGTCATTTTATTCTTACTAGCCAGTTTTTGTCAGATTTGTAAAGCAAAATTAGGCATATGATGTGAAAAGCTAAGAATGAACCCACATTTATTTTTAAGGAAAAAATTGAACGGAAACACTGAATTTGAAAACTTTGACTTATTTTAGATTCTTATTAGGAACATGTGTATCACATCAAAAGACATGCCTAATATTATGGACATCGTAAATATTTGTAAATTAATTTATATTGACTTTCTTACATCCCTAGGGTATCATTTGACTTAACTTTCTTATTTTGCACAAGATATTATTGCTGTTCTCAATGTCAATAGATTTTAGTTTATTACGTATTATATGTTATCATCGTATTCTTATATTTGTTGATGTCTTTTTAGTAAAGGATATCATTTTTTTGACTGTTTTTTTTAACTGTTTTTCGGTGATTTTATATGTTCATGCAATGATAGTATGCTTTTTTTTTACGCTTTTATTTTCAAACCTTTTTGAATAAGTAAGCTATTTTTAACTATACAATTATAAGAAATGCCAGTTTTTATTTCGAACAGCGCGTTTTGTAAATTGAGGGTTGTGTAAGCAACCACTATTTCTTAAGTGCTAGATATCGTTCATCGCAACACAATTCTCTAAATAGAACGGATGACAGCTGATCAAACCATATTATCACCAATGCTTTAGCATTCAAAGTGCGGCTATTGAAAATCATTGTACATAATTTCTTTACATAGCAAGCTGATATTATTGTGAATAGTGGCCATGGGTTTTGCAAGAAGTTAGATATGCAATTTTTTTTTCGGTAAAGTTCTTTTTTCTTTAGCGAATAACCATAAGAGAAACGAATATGAATGCTTCATAATACAACGATCTATTATCTCATAAATGCTATAATAACTAACAGAAAACATCCACTTTGTGTCAAGTTTTTGCAAATAACTTTGGTAACAAATTGTGGTGGTAGTTTGTTTTCCCAACCCATGCAATGCATTCTACACTTCCAATTACTACATTCGATCTTAATGAAGTGAGACTACACCATGAGCACACATCCTGCGTTTCAGCTGTGTTTTTTCATCCAAATAACACTTATTCCCTTTAAACATTATATCATCCAAATTGCTGCATTTGCTATAAATAAGGCACCATTGTCTTCCTTTGTTGGGATCAAGACTGAATTTAATTCTAACTCCCATAAGCATGGAATCATTTTCAATACTAATACAAAAAGTCCGATAGCCTTTGTGTATAATTTGATTTTTGTCAATTCGTCAAGAAAAATACAAAGTACAATATAAATAATATTTCATGACGTTTTACCAAGCTATCGTGTAATTTTTTTTAGACATAAGAAATAATCATACTGTAAAAAAAGGTGTGTTAAAATATTTCCATCTATGCAATTTTTTCCATAAGTTGTTTTACTCCAGATCCTGAGATTCTTTATCTAAACAAATGACAACTTATTTTCGCGTTTGCTGTGCACAACGGTGGTTTACTCTGAAAGCATCATTTCAATCGCATGGAGGAATATGATTTTAAGATCTTTTCTTCTATTCTTTACGATTCATCTTCTTTTTTCGCTACCCACATTCACAGATACATATAATAAATTTACACCATATGATGAAATAATGTCCGATTCAGCATGCCACTCCATTTTCTATGGCCACGTCATGCTCGCGCCAATGGTGCGTATTTGCCACCTTGGCTTTCGTCTTCTATGTGAAGCACATGGCGCGGGCGTTGTTTTCTCTGAAGAGATTGTTGCTGCGAAGCTTTGCCACTGCCATCGGGAGTCTCGGTCATATCCCGGCTTAGCAGAAAGCAATATTGTGGAGTACGTTGCTTATGATCGTTACAAACAAGCATTTAAACGATCCGTTGTCTTTTCCACGTTAGCGAAAAAAGGGAGGTCTTCAAGGGGGATTAACGGGAGTTGCGTATCGGCATTGGTAGTGTTACAACTTGGTGCTTCAGACGGCGCGGTGGCTGCCAAGGCTGTTACGTTATGTCGCGAGGACATCGACGGTGTTGATATTAACATGGGCTGTCCAAAGAAGTTTAGCGTGGGTAATGGATTCGGAGCCGTATTAATGGAAAATACCGCCGCTGCGGGGGACATCCTGCGCCAGATACACGCGATCGTGCTGGATAGAAAGACAGGAGGTGAGGCCTCCTGCCGACCGGGAAGCGATCGTTTTTTCCCAATTAGTTTTAAAACCCGATTAAAAAGCCTGGAGCCATCTACAACAGTGATAATGCTAAAAGAAATATTAATGGCTTCGGGTCACACACCTCAAGATCCAATAGTTCATGCAATCACTCTCCATGCGCGGTTGCGTGATCAACGCTCAGAGAGCCCTCCTTTGTACGATGTTGCAGCAAAGGTTATTACACAGTGTCGTTGCGATCCTTATTTTAGTGGTGTTTGTTTTGTTTTAAATGGATCGATTCAGTCGCGCGCCGACGGAATTGAAAAAATGAGACATTATGGATTTAATGCATGTATGATTGCTCGTGCAGCTTTAGTCGATGTGACGTGTTTTTCGCCTTCTTACGTGTATCCAGTGGGGACGGATCATACTGATCAAGAAAGCCAGTCAGCGCAAGTCCATCATATGAAAATTCTGAAGGAAATGCTACTTTTCGCGGTTTGTTATCGAACTCCGTTTAAAAACTTTAAGTATCACCTTGCAAGGATCTTTTCGGAGGTTCAGGTCTTAAAATCGAAGATGCCGACAGTTCAAGAGGGGCTGCGATCTTATAGTGACTGTTGCGATTTCTTCCAAGTTAAACCGGAAGAGCTGGAACTGGTGAAGCGATGTGAAAACGAAATTGAGTTTGTCGACTCTCCGCCTGAAGATGCTTCACCGTTGCTTTCTTCAGACGGAAAATTAAAAGACATACAAGAGTATTCACTAAAAAAAGCAGATTTAGATGATCGTGCAATACAAGTTAGGCGTCTTTGCTAGCATCATATCATAATAGACATGTACGTGTGTACTGTAGCTTTTATGTAAGACTGAAAGATTGATGACATGATCATTTTTTAATATTTTTCTTTAGATGGAAGTATTGCAATTATCATCCACCATAATCATAATTTATGCCTTTGGATCTCAACATAGTATCAAGCTTGCTATTCAAGACAAAACCAAACAGTTATTTTATTATTATCACTGTAATTAAATAATCTTTGGCTGTTTATAGAGGTATCATTTAAAATCTATATTTCATTCTGTCTCTAGAATATAACTTTAGCTTCGGTGAGTCTACATGTCTGACCTCTCTAGACGTTTGCAGAGCAAACGTCTTAATTTCATCAAACAAGCATCTAGTTACTTGGATTTTCTATTAAAAAAACAAAAGGGTTTAAAAGTGCTTTTGTGTGATGAACACACGTTTTCTATCTTGAATGTTGTCTACTCTCAGCATCAGCTGCTCCAGAACAATGTGGTTTTGGTAGATAAGTTATTCAACGAGGAGCGCTTCCCTATGAAATATTTCTCCTGTATCATATTTTGTCAGCCATCAAAATCTTCGCTCAAGTGTATTTTTCAGGAGTTGGCAGAGGCAAACTTCAGCTCTTACTCAATTTTCTTTTCTTACCTTTTAGACTCCTCTTTGTTGGAGTGCCTTGCTATTGCAGATCAGCTTAACCTGGTTACCCATGTAGGGGAAATATATTTGGACTCAATCCCCATCACGGAATATGTGTGCATCTGCCAATTGACACACAGTTTACTGAACCATTCATTAACTTCTTTAATGAATCCGCTAACTTATGTTCACTGGAATGCTAATTCGTTTAGCCAGATCACGAAAAGTATCGTTAGCATGATGCTGCTTACCGAACGTCGCCCCGTCATTCGTTATCGTTCTGATAGTAAAGTGGTCAAAAAAATCGCGGAAGAAGTGGCCTCATGTATGAACACAATGCACAGAACGTTTCCTGATCATAAGTCAAAAGAATCTGTGCTTGTTATTTTAGATCGTATGGACGACCCTTTAACACCACTTTTAATGCCTTGGACTTATGAGGCAATGATCCATGAGCTCATCGGGTTCCAGAACGGAAATGAAATTGTAATTGATTCCCTCGAAGCCAGCCCTGAGGAACGCCATCACGTTCTTACGCCTCAGACTGATTCCTTTTTTGAAAAGCACCGCTATGGCGACTGGGGCCAGGTCTGTGGCGCGGTAAGCGAAATGATCAATGCCTATAAAGAGATCAATAACATCAAGCAGACTATTGTTTCTATCGAAGAGATCAAAAATTTCATGGCTCGCTTCCCCGAATCCCGCCAGAAGTCTGTGCAGGTATTCCGTCATGCTGGTATTACAAGTCAACTTGTGGCCGAAGTCAAAGGTCGCAACCTTACCCACCTGTCCGCGCTGGAGCAAGATATTATTACCCGTAATGACATTACCGAACACAGTCGACTGATGTTGGAGACAGTTCAGGATCCGAAAACGGACCTTCACGATGCCCTGCGAATAACTATGATTTATAATCTTCGCTATGAAAAAGCATCCGGGAACATTATTTCCCGACTCAAACAGGAGCTAGAGAACAGACAGTGTGCAAAGAAAAAGATAGACTTGATTGATCGCCTTATCGAATATGCCGGTCAACAACGGCGTTCTCATGAAATCTTTAAACTTTCAACGGGACATCTCCTTAAATCTGTCCTCAAATCAGTCAGACAACCCGAAAAAGATGTTCAAAACGTTCTTACTCAGCACACACCACTCCTTAAGAAGCTCATAAATCGCTTGTACAACGGTACATTATCAGAAGAAAAATATCCTATAATGGATGTACCGGGATCGACCATTCCTATCTCTCAGATGCCGTATATACGAACAAAAGATATTATAATAGCTTATGCTGGTGGTATCACTTTCACTGAGGCGATGTTGTTATGGCAAATAAATCAAGGCCTGGTAGATAACAATTCGGAGAGCCTGATGAATATTAAAATTTCTATGTCTAGGCGACTTGTTGGTAATGAGACTGTGGCTCCATCGGAGCAGCCATACACCGCAAAGATTGAGGCACAGGTGGCGCTAATTTCGACCGCCATGATAAATTCTAAGATGTTCATTCACTCTTTGGATCAATAAAGGAAATATAAGCGGAGTGCTACCGATCTCCGGTATTCTAATTAGGGAACTATCCTAAGTTAGGATAGAATACAAAGTTATAGTTTTGGTTGCTTTTTATGGTGGTTAACCCTGCATGTCTTGGATATTTTCGCATTCACATGCATATACATGTAGACTCATGGACAGTATTGTTGGAGATAAGAAAAACAAGTCTTTACTCTATCGGTACGAATAGGGTTGCTCTTAATTCCACTTTCATCGTTTCCATGACAATATATCTTAACGTTTTTATCTGTGTGAGGTTATGTCTTGTCCTTTTGGAACACGCGCTGGAACGGCTCCTTTTCCAACATTGCGTTTAGTATTTTTGTTTAGGATAAACTTATTTATCTATTGGAAGAAGGGCATATTGATATATATATAAAAGATTACTTTAAATTATCTTTTAAGTAAACAGCTTTCCTCTCTCTCAAACAATAAAAATCATTCATATCATTGCTATTATTTTCAGCGTTAGAACGATATGTCTTTTAATTATCCAGTAGGCATACCACAGCCTGGATCTAACCTATTTATGTCATCTTCGCATCCTCCGTCAGATTCGACTATTCCCATCTTCAATACGGCTCTGGGGACGAATCTCAACACCTTCACTTCCGATGATCGAATGCTTCTTTGGACTTTGTATCATCAACAGCAAATTATTCAATTTCAGCTCAATCTTCTCATGCCGTCCATGCAAGAGATGAAACGCGCTCTCGACGAGATCGGAAACCACCTGTACCCACAACGATCACGCGATGAGGGGGGGACGGACGACGGAAAACCGACGGAGGCGCCGCGCTCGGCAGCCGCACCGGCCTCGGTGGGGCCGACGCCGCCCCCTACCGGCCCCGCCGAGGCCGATCACCGACTGGGCGGCGTTGGTGCTTCGCGACTGGCCTCGGCCACCCTTGAGGAGTCCCGCTCCTGCACCCCCC